CCCTACATATATTTATTTAATCCTCCTAAAATCCACAGAAGGTGGGTATTATTATTATTATTATCTTTTTTATAGATGGGAAATTAGAAACACAGATTAATTAAATTGCCCAATATTACATAGTCAGTGAGGGTGGAGCTGGGGTTGGAATCCATACTCTTAACCACTATATTATATTACCTCTTTTTTTTACCTATAACCAAACTGCCAAGACTCTGCTCTCATGGCACGCACAGAAAAGAATGAGAACTAAAAAAATTGTACAAATGAACTTACTTACAAAACAGAAATAGAGTCACAGATGTAGGAAACAAACTTATGGTTACCAAGGGGGAAAGTGGCAGGGAGGGATAAATTGGGAGATAGGGATTAACACATATATAAAACAGACAACTAATAAGGACCTACAGTATAGCACAGGGAATTCTACTCAATAATCTGTAATAACCTATACAGGAAAAGAATCTAAAAAAGAGTGGATATATGGATATGTGTAACTGATTCAGTTCGCTGTACAGCAGAAACTAATACATTGTAAATCAACTATCCTCCAATAAAAATTAATTTAAAAAAAGAGAAAAGAATGAGAACAAAACAAATAGGAAAAGAGCACAAAAATACTGAGGAGGGGAATTCCCTAGTAGTCCAGTGGTTAGGACTGGTACTTTCACTGCTGAGGGCCTGGGGTTCAATCCCTGGCCAGGGAACTATCCCACAAGCTACATGGGCCAAAAAAAAAAAAGACACTGAGGAAAACAGAAGAAACTTAAAAACAAAAATCCAAAAATGATAATTAATACACTTATATAAGAGAGGATGTTTGAAAGGGAGTAGGAGGGAATATTCAGTGAGCAAAAGAGCTCTTAGAAACTTAAAATGGAAATTAAATAAAAGGACTGAATATAAGGTTGAAGAAATATTACAATTAAAATAGAACAAAACAACAAAGAGGTGGAAAACAGGAGAAATAATAAGAGACTCAGTCCAAGAGATCCATTATTGGTGCCCTGGTCCGGGAAGATCCCACATGCCATGGAGCAGGTGAGCCCGTGAGCCATGGCCGCTGGGCCTGCGTGTCCGGAGCCTGTGCTCTGCAATGGAAGAGGCCACAACAGTGAGAGGCTCGCATATTGCAAAAAAAAAAAAAAAAAAAAAAATCCAAAGGCAAATTAGAGTAAAGGGATCTCTTTAATGTCTGACTTCGGAAAGCCAGCCAGATTCTCATAATTGCTGCTGCCTTCAGTCTGCTGTGATATGGCATTTTGATTTAAGTACATTAAAAAAAAAAAAAAAAATCAAGCCTCAAACAGATATGTAGTTGCAAAAAGCATTTTAATAGCTTTTCCAAGATACTACATCAAAATGTAGTAAGTAGTAGTATCTCAAAAGTTAGTTGAGGGCTTCCCTGGTGGCACAGTGGTTGAGAGTCCGCCTGCTGATGCAGGGGACACAGGTTCGTGCCCCGATCCGGGAAGATCCCACATGCTGTGGAGCGGCTAGGCCCGTGAGCCATGGCCGCTGGGCCTGTGCGTCTGGAGCCTGTGCTCCGCAACAGGAGAGGCCACAACAGTGA